TTTATAATATGCATTCTTGCTGAAGATTGTGGAGAGGTTTCCCACTGACTTATTCATGACTTTAAATTCAAAAAATTTTCTTCCCTTTGACTGGTTGCCAACAAGACTAGACAGCCCAATCTACACTGCTATTTAATCCATAGCTGGTGGTGGGGAGAAGAGAGAAAAAGACAAAGCTATTTGTGTATACACGAATTTGAATTTGGCTCACTGATTCCACTTTCTGTGTTGGCATCAGTTACACCATCCATCGTCTCCTTTTTCTTTTCTGTGCTATGTCCCTTCAGGATGTGGACGATCATGGCTCTTCACAATTTCCTCTTCTTTGTCGGTCTTAGTAAAGTTTCCCTTTTTCTAATCTCTTTTAAGACATCCATATACACTTAAAAATAGTGTAATGCTAAAGTTAGAATAGTTTAAATTTATTGACATTCACATTTCAGATTATAAAGCACCTTCAAAACTTTGATTGTGAATTTTAAAACAGCAAGAAATCTATGAAGAATATATTTCTTTCTTTCAAAAGTTTGGAAACTGATTCAATTACAATATCATTTCTTACTTCTATTTTTATTTTATTTTTTTTATTTTATTTTTTACTCATTTTGCCTCAAGTAAGGTAGTAAAGCCACTAAGACACATGGGGTTACTGAGTGTGACAGAATATGAGAAAAAGAAAAACATTAAGGAGAGAGAACGATAAAAGAACAAAAATTAAGAAAACAAGATAAAGATTGATATCGCATTGAAACTTTTAAAAATCAAATTTAACTGGAAAGCAATTTTGAATTGCTAAAAATATTAATTTCAGTTGGAGTCTTGGAGTTTTTTTTTTCAAAATCAAAAATATGGAAATTTATTGATTATTAGATTAAAAATAAAATAGTTTTTTTGGCACTAGTTAAATAGACTCTTCCACTAATAAAAAAGTAGGAAAAAATTTTAGAATAAATTTTGGAGATAAGGATTCATTAGACATTTCTCAGCCCATGGCATTTGAAAAATATTAATTCTTTTTAATGATTTTGAAGGTGGGGTGTTGTTCATAATGTAGACATGGTAAAATTAATCCCCGAATTTTTATAGAATTTTTTGGAATTAGTTGTTATTTACAAAAGTCAAGTTTGAACAGTGGTTATGCCATTGATAACTGACTATTTTTTTGTTTAATATTCTGAATTTTTATGACGTGTTTTTAAAAAAAAAACATTTCAGTGTTGTTTTCAGATGCACAGGCACACTGAGGCATAAAAATATATACAGTGTAACCCGGATATAAGAGAGTTGTCGGGACTGGAGAAGAAGTCTCTTATATCCGGGTTTGGTCTAATTTATATACATTAATACAGGCTCTAATTTGGGACCAGAGAAAATCTCTCTTATATCTGGGTTTGGTCTATTATATATACAGTGTAACCCGGATATAAGAGAATTGTCGGGACTGGAGAAGAAGTCTCTTATATCAGGGTTTGGTCTATTATGTATACAGTGTAACCCGGATATAAGAGAGTTGTTGGGACCAGAGAAAATCTCTCTTATATCCGGGTTTGGTCTATATGTATACATTAACATAGGCTCTAATTTGGGACCAGAGAAAATCTCTCTTATATCCGGGTTTCTCTTATATCCGGGTTACACTGTACTTATATTAATTTATTTAAATTTTCTTTTTTAATTAAAAGTATGTATATCAATTTGTTCCTTATTTAAAAGAAGTCTTTTTGCAAAAAAAAAAGTTTGCTTTTCTATGAGAACAGCTATGTTCAGATAACTCTTTAAAAGTCAGGATTTCATTTTACATTATATCGATATTATGAACAGAATCCTCATCTAAACCAATAAAAATCTCTATCTTTTGATAGTGACAAATGTCATGTCTTGAGGCAGGTCTAAGGAATGCTAATGTACAAAGATTATTTGCAAAAATAATTTTCTCTGTATTTCATGAGTGGGTCATTCTACTAAAATAGTGCCATCATGTACTTTCAGGACTGAGGTGGTCATAGCTATCCAAAGCCTCCTTTTATTTAATATCTGTGAATTGCCATGATGTTTTGGTGTCAATTTCATGGGCATAACTAAACAATGACTAAAATTATGTTTCCATCTTGAAGGTCACTAGACACCCCAAAAGTCTATGTTCAGAACTGAGACCAAAAATGCATGGGGAAACACTACCAGGAATGTTTGATCCTAAGTGAATGATCCAATATTTTAAAATGACTCATTACGATGGAGGCATTCAGAAAGTCTATGGAAACATGTGCTTTAATCCAAACAGCTTTATTTGAAAAATTGAATTTGAGTACACTTATTGATGCCAAAACTTTTGCATGCAGATTAAAATTGAAAAAGCATATACACAGCCTTGTAGAAGATGAAATATTTACAACCCTGTCACAGATGCAATATTGCAAGCCTCTCACTACTCTATCACTATTTCCATGAAAAATGTCCTGAGGCGCTACATACACTGGTTCCATCAGTTCAGACATTTACAGTAAAGACCCGCCATGCCATATTTACAGAGGTTAACCATCCCCATTCCCTTTGTAGTCCATTGGTAAGTTGTCAGTTCCATTTGAATCATGTCTTCCCAAGAACCATTACTTCATAGAACAGACTCCTGAAAGGACGTTTCCCCAACGACTACAATCTTAACCTCTTCAAGTTCAGTGTAAACCCTTATCTATTTTGCATATCCTCATAATCTACATTCTTCCGTATCTGTCTATATTTCTGAGATGAGGTATTATGTACACTATTTACATTATTCAGACTATTGTCCTCATCTTTGTCGTCATATTTATCACAACGTTTAGGCCATTGTATGCTCCAGCCTTCTTCAGGTGGCTGGAATGTCAAACTGAACCCTTTATTTCTCTCACTAGGGTAGACTGTTCTAGTTCCACATACCATATCTAATGGATGTCAGTGATCTCCTGTTAATTTCCCTCTACAAGTTATCTACTGCCTTAACCGGGTATTGAACTCACACTCCTGTCACTGGATCTAAATAACACCTTTATCCACTGTGTCATGTGTCCTGATAACTGACATCCATTAGACATGGCACGTAGAACTAGAACAGTCTGCCTCAGTGAGCGAAATAAAGGGTTCAGTTCAACATTCCAACCACCTGAAGAAGGCCAGAGTGTACAACAGCCAAAATGTTGTGATAAATATGGCAACAAAGGTGAGAACAATAGTCTGAATAATGTAAATAGTCTACATTCTTCTCTCTTCATTTGCTCTACTTTGAGTGGCTCTTGGACCTTCTATTGGGTGAACAATAGCATAAAGAAAGACAGAAAAAAAAACCCAGCAACAGGTAAGAGCAGAGCTATTAATTGGAATTTTAAACAAACGGTATCAAAATCTTAATGTGTATTGGAACTTTGCTTTACCAGTCTTATCTTGAAAAAAACTCAATCTAAGCAATAGTAATATTAGTTGTTTCCTTATAAGGAAACATTTGGCATTCATTGACCATGCAGCCAGTACTGTTGTTGGTTGAAAATTATAAAATCTTTCTCTTAAAACAATTTTTCAGGAAAATCGGTTTCTCAACTTATTCCTGCATTTTTTTTTTAGGGTTACAGAATAAAAGGTGCCCCTCCAAGCATAGTGATAAAATCAGCAAAATACAAGGGATCACAAGGATGTGAACAAAAAGAAAACAACTTTAGAAAGAACTGGAAACCTAATCCTAAACAGGAAACAAAGGATAAACCTTTACTCCTGTTCAAAAGACCAGGGAGGAGTGTGAACAGGATGATAGGTGACCATATCTACTCCCATTGAGATGACTTTCTTTTTATTTGGAGTAGTGTGGAATGTCTAAATTTTCATTATGTTGTCATCTTCTCTTCGGGTTACATGTGCTATCCATTTTTGGTGTTGCTTCTGTTGATAGTTCGCAAGTAATTTGGTTTCTGTTATTTGGTACAGTTCCTTGTTTCTGCTTCTGTAACTCCAGTTCACAATGTTTGAAGAAAGATGGTTTTTGCCGAGATCCACAGGCTCCACTTGCTCAAAACCATTTTTAATCATTGACCATAGAAAGTGATAGTTTAGATATTTCTGAACGAGTTTGGTGTCATGAATGACATCCATATGAAAGTCTTGATCTGACAAGGCTACTTCAGAACGTGACTTATAGTGAAAAGACAAACATTACTAAGAACTACAAAAGACAGGAAATTGTGGAGAGCAATGATCGCTCATGTGCTGAAGGGTCATGACACATAGAAAAAAGTGAAAAACATTCTGATATCATTAATGACATAAAATGACTGCTATGACACTGTGAAGTTTACAGAACTCTCAAGTTCAAAGATTGTTTGAGCGGCTGGCATCATAGCTTACAGAAGTGTCTTACAAGAGCTTATATTTAAAAATGTCTGCTTTTAATTCAATTTTCTATGAAATTTTTTGAATGTGCCTTGTATTATCTATTTATAATAAAAAAGTCTATGCATATTTGGTGATGGGGGGATCAGTGGGAAACAGTCAATAAGAAAAGATTATAAACACTGGTAAAATGCATAAAAGGATGGTGCTTGGTAAAACAAAAATAAATTTTTTTTTTTTTAGGCTGATGATTTCTTGTGCCTTCAGTGCCAACATTCATACCAAATGAAATATTCTTTTTTTGTGTTTTTATTATCAAAATAATCACTGTAGAAATGAAAAGAAGACCATAGATTTGATTGTCTGCATCATTCATTATATAGTCAGCTTCTCCCCCCCCACTTTTTTTTTTACTCTTTTTCCCAACGAATGAGCAAGTAAGGTAAAGAGAATGAAAAAGAAAAAGTCAAGAAAAAAATGAAAGAATAGTGAAAAACACTACCTCCAGCCACCACTGCAACTTTCTTTTGTCATTTATTGATTGATTTTCTTTATTCAAAGGGAAGCCATTTTTTTAATAAAAGGACAAGGAAAGAAAAAAAAGAAAAGAAAAAAAAAAAGGACTGACTCCCAAAATATAGGCGTGAATGAATGGTAAAAAAAAAAAAAATTAAAAAAAAAAAAAAAAAAATGAGTAAATATGGTTAAAATTTTTTGAGATCGATTGAATTGTTCCAATAAAGAATTATGACCGGAACTTCACAAGAGTCGGCAAGTGAGAAACTGTACTGGTTAGAAAATATAGAAGATAGGGGAAGGAGTAGAGAAACACCCAATTGAATCTGATAAATTCTTTGCTACTACCTTTCATGGCGATAGTCACCTGCCAACTCTACCTTCACCAAGTGATGGTTTTTTTTTTTCTTTGAGAAATGATACAAAGAAAGAATATCATTTTCCCTGCCTTTTGCATGAACTGAAAAGTGATTTTTTTTCCCATAATTTAAGTACATTTGTAGAAAGCATAAATCTTGTATCACTGAATAAAAGAGAAAAGTATAAGAACAGAATTAGATGACGAGAGAGAACTAAGACAGAAATTCCTCAACCTGGTTAATAATAATAATAATAATAATGAGAAGAAGAGAAAAATGTGAGCAAAAACAAAAGGGGAGCCAAAAACAATAAACGAGAAATTATTTTATTTTACAGGAGAAACAGGACATAAAATGACAGCTATTCTTCACAAGAATCTTTATTGTTCTTTAAATATTTTTCTTTGTTTTCTTCTTTCTTTCATCACTGAATTTATTTTTTTCCCCTGAATTTCTTTATTCTTCACCTTTCATTTTTCTTCAAGTTTCTTTTCTTCAATTTCTTTCTTTTGTTATAAATCCTTTCTTCCTGCCTCTCCCTTTTTTTCTTTTTTCAACTTTCAGTTTTCATTTTGCACATCTGGCTATTATTCATATTTATTTTCCTCTTTTTTTTCATCATTCTGTTTCCCCCCCCTCCCCCCCATATAGATTTTTTTCTTTCTTTGGATTTTCTTCTTCTTTCTATGTTCCTCTATTTTCCATTTTTTTTTTTTTTGTTTAATTTATTCCTGTCTCTGTCTCCAGAATTCCTTTTCTTTCCACTTTTTTTTATTTTATTTCTTTTTTATTTGGAATTTCTTTTTTTTTCTCACTCTCTCATTCACTTTACTTTTTTATTATTTTCACCTAATTTTTCATTCAATTCTTTATTCCTCATTTTTTCTTCTTCCATTCCTTCTTGTTTCTCTTCCTCCTCTTTTTTTTTTATCTCATTCTGCTTTTTCTTTCTAAGTATGGATTATTCTTTATTCTTATTTCATATAATTTCTTTATTATTTTTCTTGTACCTTTTCTTTTCTTTCTTTGATTTTCCTTCAATTTCTTCCTTTTTATCTTCCAAATTCTTTGCTTTATCTTATTCTTTCAAAATTGTTTTCATTCTTTGAACATGTTTATTCTCACCTTAGCCTGACTTCAATTTTCTTTATACGTACTTTTGAAATGACTGAATGAAGAAATTGTATTTATTCATTTCCTTCTTTTCTTTTTCATCAGCTGCATTTTTTCTTTTTCCTTCACTTTTTCTTCCATGTTTAGCTTTGTCTTTTATCCTCCTTTACTTTCAACTTCTGCCTGATTCTCTTTGTCCCTCTTTTTCTCCATCAACTGCCTTATTCTCTCCTTCTCAAAGCTTTTTCTTCACTCATTATCTCCTTTTAACCCTATTTTAGCATCAACCATTTTTTCCTTTTCACTGTCTTCTTGTTTCCTTGCTCTTGTAACTTTATGATTTTTTTTTCTTCAACTGTCTTTTTTCCTTAGTTCTTCTCTACCTTATTCCCTTTACTTTTTTCATTCACATCTATCTTTTTCCCTCTCTTTCTGATCTTACTCTTCTTTCTCCTTTTCCTTCTCTTAATGTTTCTTCTTCTTTTACTATGCCTCTCACTCTCCTTCCACTCTTTACTTAACATTTAGTTCTCTCTCACAGCATTCTCTCTTCTATTCATTCCTTTCAGATTGCTTCCTCCATCCCACATCCCTTGTGAGTTCCATCCCTCATTTCCAGAACAGAAACTATTGGATGATAAATGGGCAACAAGATTGGTGTCAGCATTTTTAATTTCATATGATTGATTTCTTATTCTCATTTATTTTTTTAAATGCAGTATATATTGATATCTACTATTTCTTTGATAAAAACAATTCTGCTAGTACCAATGAAAAACACTGATGCCTCCAAGTGAACCTTAAAATATCATCATCAAGAAAATGGCTTCTCTTTTGACATACCATCAGTTAAGGAAGACTGCCTTCTTTGGAGGAAATAAAAACTTGTTACAGACCACAGCTTCTGAGTTATGCTCTCAGGGGCTATGACACTATCTTGGTTTTGTAGTAGATATGGACAGAGTTAGTCAAGGTCTATATTTATTCAAACTTGTTGCTGCTGGAGAACAGAAACACATTAATTGTCCAACACTTCTTCAGAAAGATTTGTTGGCACAACAAGAATCAAAACAGTAAAAGTAAAAAAGGTGAACATGAGGGTGGAGGAGGGTGTAAATGACCAACAAGATTGGTGTCAGCATTTTTAATTTCATGTGATTGATTTATTTTATTTTTTTTTTTATATGCAGTATATGTAGATAGCTACTATTTCTTTGATAAAAACAATTCTACCAGTACCATGAATGAAGTCATTAACTGAGGTATATTAAACAAGAACCACTTTATATCTATGATTTAAAAATGAAGCATAATTGTATATTTAAGCAACACAACAAGATTCCTTTAAAAGAATCTAATTTGTCATTTTTAAAACCATATATAAATTCTGTGGTATAAATTTTTTGTTTTAGTATATAATTTAATATGCATAAAAAGAAAATGCATAATATTTCTTGCATTTTTAGACTGATGCAAATTTTAAGCTCTCTATAAAATAAAGGATGTATTCGATGGAATCTCGCCTTATCTTCTGTCCTGGCTGCACATGGTTATTGATAAAGACTGAGATGATGGAAGGTATTTGAACATAAAACAAAACAAACCTCAATTTCAGACAGTTTAGCCACAATAATCCTGATATGCAACATCTTATTAGAAAATTGCAAAAAATACAAATTCAATAAATAGACCTTGTTGGCTTAATTTAATAAAACTTTTTGGGATGAATATTTGCAGTGTGTGTATATATATATATATATATATATATACACACACATACATACATACAATATGAGATAATATATAAATTTTTATATATCAAAAACAATATTAGGGAAAATGTATGTCAAAGTGGAAAAAAGTTTTTGTATGACACATTTTGTCCTTTAGGACTTCATTAGACTAAATTTGTTATGTTGGCACAACTACACATGCACATGAACAAGGGGTGCTGGGAATTATCAATTTAATTTTCTTTCATAAAATCTAGCCGATATCATTTAGATTCTTATTTTTTTCCATCACTTCTGTTATTAGATATCCTACACTGTGATAAAGGAAGCTCAACCAGATGCAAATTTAATGCAGATGACCTTGTGAACAAGGAACTCTCAAAACATTTTAGATTTTATAAATAAAAAAAAAAAATAAAAGTAAAAATTCCCAGCAGCTCTTGTTTGTATGCATGTGTCTTTACACCAACAACAAATTTAGTCCGGAACACATCATGCAAAAACTTTTTGCCACTTTGTCATATATTTTATATATACACACATACACACACACACACACACACACTTCAACTGAATTGAGCTCTCCGGGCTGCTGGTGTATTTCCTATAGAAAGCGTTAAAATTTCCCTTTTGCTCTGTCATGCGACAATAGCCTAGGGGTAGGATCACGGACTGATGCCAAATCGGTTGGGTTTCAATCCCGGCTTGAAGCATTGAGATGTCTAGCCACACTGAAGAGCTGTGATGCAGTGAAACAGTCTGTCTGTGGATGACTATATATATATATATATGTGTGTGTGTGTGTGTGTGTGTATATATATATATATATATATATATATATATATATATATATATATGCACTACAGTACAAGAGTTTGAGGCTACCCTCGGTAATTTTTTAAAATTGGCCCCAAAAGTAGTTGTTTTGTACTTTAAATCACAGGAAATTATTATACATGGTTAAAAAAAAGTCAGACATGATCTTTTATTAGAAATTTTATTATGACAAGAAAAAAGAAAAAAATATCCTCCTTCATTACTGCAGCACAAATTTATTTGTATTTGTTGCAAAAATTGATTCCATTTTTCATTTTTCAATGGCTCTAAGGGCTCTTTCTAATTTTATTTTTTTTTCACTCTTCTGTCAAGTTCATTCCTTGCTAATTCTGGGGATGGTTTCAAACTTTTGAACTATAGTGTATACATTATATATATTATATATATATATATATATATATATATATATGCATGCATGTATGTATGTATGTATAGTAGGGAAAATGAGTATTTAATATATACACACAGACAATGTATTATTTACTAACTAGTTCTTACCAAGTGTAACTGAAATCGTTATCACATAATTAGAAGAGGAAATAATGTCATAATCAAGATGTTGACTTTCCCATTACCATAAACAAATGTTTAGAAAGGAAACTCGTTAATACCAGAAATACTGATAATGAGAAATTTGACAAGTTTATTTTTCTGAAAAAATTTTTCCTGTTTGGTTAATGTTACATTCACAATAAAAGAGTTATTTGTACAACCAAAAATATTTTTTGTCTTTGGATAAGCCATAAAGGGCTGATAAACTGTAAAAACCAAATAAATCATCTTTACAACAATAAATATGAGTGAAAATTTCAAGCAATACATTTGTATAAAATTATGAAAGATATATTTAAAAAGGATGAAGATAAAATAAAAGAAATAAAGTCATCACTTGAGAATATAAATTTCTAAGTTGGTTGGAAACTATCATAAACCCACTATTCTATAACTATTGTTATAAAACAGTGTTATATAATGTACTTCGTATAAGGATTCTCTATATGTATGCTTTGGCTACTTACTGTGACACTTGTTCTAATTAGTCTAGAGACTGACTTCAAATGGCTAGGTATTTACCCAGGCCCCCCCACTAAGACAGGATGCGACACAGGGTCAGATATAATGTGTGGAACCCAAGTGTGAACACTTGGGCAACTGGTCCCAAACTTACCCATTCCCAACAACTGCGAGAAACAGGCATTTTGCTTCTGTTTTTCTCAGTTTAATCTTTATCCATAAACAGAGGCGCGAATGAGTCATCCAATGCCCAAAGACAGCGGTCTTGTCAGTTGCAAGACAATCAATGAACTGCATGACACTAAATGGCTACCAGTTTTACCTCTGACCTGGAGCTCTTTAAAGTAATGGACTAGTTCATATAATCACCAGGGGTGGGCACCTCGAGATGTTGTAATGGTTAACAAGCTAGTCTCGCTGAAACTATTACAAAGGAGTAGTGAGTTCGATCCTCACTGGGTGCCCCTTACTTTTGGCCTTGTGCCACATCCAAGCTACGCTTGGAAAATCCCTATAATCACCAGGGGTGTACTATTTTACTCTACAACATCCCCCTCTTGAAATTAATACTTTTATAAACATTTTATTTCTTATTAGTATCAGTATCTCCTTCTCCTCTTTCGGGAGAGTTCACCAACATACTTGACTTTGTAACATCCTGGGTATGATGATAAACTACATCCGCGTCCTGGGTATGCCGGTAAACTACCTCCGCGTCCTGGGTATGACGGTAAACTACGTCCACGTCCTGAGTATGGCGATAAACTACATCCAACAGCAAGGCCTCAGATAATGTTTCCGGAAAGATAATGTTGCCAGCTATGCATTTTTGAAACCATAATGTTGCCAGCTATGCGTTTTTGAAACCATAATGTTGCCAGCTATGCGTTTTTGAAACCATAATGTTGCCAGCTATACGTTTTTGAAACCATAATGTTGCCAGCTATACATTTTTGAAACCATAATGTTGCCAGCTATACATTTGACTTTTGAAGTCACTCAAAATCATTTTCGGCATAAAGTGACCACTAAGGTTGAAATGCCATTAAACAAAACAATCAACAATCAAATGGAAATTCTTGACTTAAACAAAAAATACCTAGGATTATTTTGCAGTGTGCAAGCAAATAAGCTCTAGTTTGCTAAAAATGTTCCATACAAAATAGGCATTTAAAATTCATATATTTGGCATATACAGTGTAACCCGGATATAAGAGAGTTGCCGGGAACAGAGAAGTCTCTTATATCCAGGTTTCTCTTACATCCGGGTTTGGTCCATTTTGTTTAGGTAAGTATGGGCTCCAATTTGGGATCAGAGAAAATCTCTCTTATATCCGGGTCACACTGTATATATAAACTGGATTTGGCATTAAATAACCCACAGTGGTTGATATGCCATAAAACCCAAACAA